GATTATGAAGTCATCAAGGCTAGGTCAAGTGGGTACTCTCTGCAACTTTGGGTGTTCTTGTGCGTCTCCTCTCACTCCCTATCAGCTTATGGTTCACTCTCAGCTCTAGCCCTCTGTGGCTCAGCTGTCCCCAGGTCTCATCACATTTTGGACCAACCAGCCCTTCCTCTTCTCTGTCACATCTCCAAGTCAAAGGGAGTCTATGGAATGTGGTTGAACTCAGCCTATTTCTTCATTGCTGCCTTTACCCCTCTTCCACTCACCAGTAGACCAGTGTGGTTGCCAGCAAGCTTACATGCTTATTTGTGTGTTCCCTTTGAGTTTCAGTCTTAGAGGGGGGTTTGTCCTAAAGGGACTTGATTGCTTGCCTTGATGGCTTCTTGTTGAACAACTTGCTTATCCTTGTAATAGCCAGTCTTACTGGCATTTTTGTTTTGGGTTTTTCCTGATGATCTTTCTTTGAAGATGTAGCTTCTGTTGCTCTAATGTTCCAGGATGGTCTGCTTGTCCTTTCCAGTGGGAATGTGCCACCTCATAAGGTTCTGGATGGGACTCAGGATTCCACCTAAGATCCTATACTCTGCAAAGGCTTTGCAAGAGGCCTATTTCACTGGGCCAGTTCTAGAACCCCTTTTAGGTATTCCAATAGGCTAAAGATGGGCTTACAAACTTTCTGTAATCATGTTTCCCGACATTCCTTTCTATCCAACGCAAGTTTCCAATTTTACAATAGTAGGCAAGGGAAACCAATATACATAAGACAGTTAAGCATCTTAGTATTATTTCCCCTCTTCAAACTATGCCTTGATTCTTGCATCCCAGAGCCTTGTTGTCCCAAGGTTGAGTATGCATCACTATTTACCTCTGTCCCATTTAGCCCATGCAAATCTGTCTGTGTTCCCCTCTTCTTTGTTCTTCCACCCCCTCCCCATTTATAATAGTGCTTTGAAGCAGACCCTGTTGTTATTGTAGCTGCCATTCACTTGGCCCCTGAGTCATAGCAACCCCGTGCTCAATAGAATGAAATATTACTCGGTCCTGTGACTTCTCCATGCTCTGTTGCAGATCGAACCATTGTGATCCATTGGATTTCATGGGCAAATTTTCGGAAGTAGGCCTTTCATCCTGGTCTGTCATAGTCTCCACATGAGGTGCATTAGCTGAGACTTGACTTCCGGTCTCCTGCATGGAAGTTAAGAATTCTAACAGTGAACTAACCCTGGTTCCATGAAAAGAACCTTGTTGTTAGGTATGGTTGAGTCAGTTCAGAGTCGTATTGACCCTGAACTGTGAGAATAAAACTACTCACAATTGTTGTTATGTTTGAGCCCATTGATGCTGCCACTATGTCAGTTCATGTTGTTGAGGGTCTTTCTTTTTTCTGCTGACCCTACACTTTTACCAAGCATGATGTCTTTCTCCAGGTCCCTTGTGACCACATATCCAAAGTATGAAAGACCAAGTCTTGCCATCCTCTCTTTCAAGGAACATTCTGGCTGTACTTCCTTTGGAAGTCCATGGTACTTTTGCTGTTATTCTTTACTGACACCATAATTCAAATGCATTGATTCTTCTATGGTCTTCCTTACTCATTGTCGAATTTTCACATACATATGAGATGATTGAAATTACCACGGCTGCTTGGTCAGGTGCACTTTAGTCCTCAAAGTGATATCTTTATACTTCAACACTTTAAAGAAGTCTTATGCAGCAGATTTGCCTAATGCAATGTGTCGTTTGATTTCTTGACTGCTGCTTATATATGAGTGTTGATTGTAGATCCAAGCAAAATGAAGTCTTGGACAGCTTCAATTCTTCCTCCGTTTGTCATCATGCTGTTTACTGGTCCAGTTGTGAGGATTTTCATTTTCTTTACACTGAGGTACAATCTAAACTGAAGGCTGTATGTAGTATTTAATCTTAATCAGTAAGCATTTTAAGTCTAAAGATGATAAAACCTTGTTTGTTAGTGAGTCTTTCTCCAATCCTGATGTCATGTTCTTCCTCACATAATCCAGTTTTTCCGATTATTTGCTTAGCATAAAGATCGAATAAATATGGTGAAAGAATACAACCCTGGTGCACACCTTTTTTGTTTTAAACCATTCAATACTCTGTTATTCTGTTCCAACGACTACTTCTTGGTCTATGTACAGGTTCCTCATGAGCACAGTCAGTGCTCTGGAATCCCCATTCCTCAGTATGTTATCCATAGTTTGTTATGATACACAAAGTTGAATGCCTTAACATCGTCAGTGAAACACAAGTAAACATGGTTATGGCTGTCTCTCCTTTCAGCTAAGATCCAGCTGATGCCAGCGATGATATCGCTCATTCCACAGTCTCTTCTGAATTCAGTTTGAATTTCTGGCACCTCCCTATAGATGTACTGCTGCAACTATTTTTTGAATTAACTTCAGCAAGATTTTACTTGCATGCGATATTAATGATATTATTATTCTATGATTTCCATATTTCATGGGTCACCTTTCTTTAGAATGGGCACAAATATAGATCTCTTCCAGTTGGTTGGTCAGGTAGCTAGCTATCTTCAGAAAGTCTTGGCAGAGACAAATGAGTGCCTCCAGAGCTGCCCCGGTTTGTTGAAACATTTCTATTTCTAGTCCGTCAATTCGGGAGCCTTGTTTTTCACCAGTGCCTTTCAAAACCATTGGTTCTTGGTCATCTGCTACCTCTTGAAATGACCAATTCTTTTCGGTACCGTGACTCTGTGTGTTCCTTCCATCTTCTTTAGATGCTTCCCGCCTCCTTCAATATTTTCCCCATGTTGTTGTTGTTGTTGTTAAGTGCTGTCGAGTCGGTTCCGACCCATAGCGACCCTGTACAGGGTTTCCGAGGGTGTAAATCTTTACGGGAGTAGAAAGCCTCATCTTTCTCCTGCGGAGCGGCTGGTAGTTTCGAACCGCTGACCTTAAAGTTCGTAGAATCCTTTAATATTGTAAGTCAAGGCTTGAATTTTTCTTTAGTTCTTTCAACTTGAGAAATGCTGACTGTGTACTTCCCTTTTGATTTCTAACTCCATGTCTTTGTACATTTCATTACAATAGTCGACTTTGCCTTCTCAAGCTGCCCTTTGAAATGTTCTGTTCAGCTGTTTTGTTTTCTCATTTCTTCCATTCACTTTAGTTTCTCTATGCTCAAGAGCAAGCTTCAGAGTATCTTCTGACATCCATCTTGGTATTTTCTTTCTTTCATGTCTTTTTAATAACCTTTTGCTTTCTTTCTGTATGTTATTGTTGATGTCATCCCACAACTCTTTGGTATTTGGTCATTAGTGTCTTATGCATTCCTGAGATGGCCTCTAAATTCAGATGGATAGGCTCAAGGTCATACTGTGGCTCTTGTGGACTTGTTTTAATTTTCTCCAGCTTCAGCCTGAATTTGCACATGAGCAATTAATTGATGCTCTGTTCCATAATAGGCTCCTGGCCTTGTTTTGGCTCATGATGCTGAGCTTATCCATCGTCTTCCCACAGATGTAGTCAAAAGACTCTTCATGTGTTCTTATTGAGAGAGTCTTCTGTTGGCATTTTTAGTTGGGTTGGGTTTCTCAGTTACTATGCTTACATGCCAGAAAGGCCTACCAGACAGTATATATCGAGATCAGTTGTGAGAAAGCGTTGCAACTTTTTTATAACATTGTTCAGAATGTGAAATAATACAGTCAGTTCTGAAAATCGACCTCAAGCATGTTCATTAGTGGTTGCATTAAGCATTGGATTGGGGGGTCAGTAAGCATGAATAGCTGAATTGAGCGGCTGAGAAAAGAGGTTCAACAAACTTACCCTCATCTGGTATCTATTACAGTGGTATTCTTGTGCCAGGAGGCTTCGGAACCAGAGGAATGATGGGAAAACTGCAGGCAATTTCTTGGGCAAGGACAAAGAAGATTCCTTTTCTGGGTAAAATTCATGTTTAATCATTCCTAACTGTGAGTGTATTCGATTTTTGACACCCAGGAAGGGTGACACTTAACAGGAGAGGAAAAGATGTGAACTCAGATTTAAAATTTCAGGTACCAAATAGTTTGCTACAAGGGTTGACAGACTATAGCTCAAAGGCCAAATCTGGCCCACAGTCTGTTTCTATAATAGTTTTTTTGGAATTCAGCTGCACCAATTCATTTAAAAGTCTATGGCCATATTTGCAGCATAAGAGCTGATTGTGAGACCCTATGGCCTCAAAAATGTACTATCTGGAGGAGCTCAAGGTCAGCAGTTCAACCAACCAATGAAGAGAAAGTACAAATAAACACAAAATATGCTCATTCACTTTTATTATTATTGTGGTAATATATAGCAACACATTTGCCATTTCAACCATTTTCATTTATGCAATTCAGTGATATTAATTACATTCATTATACTGTGTGATCAATTACCCCTATCCATTTCCCAATGTTTTCATCGCCCTACACAGAAACTCAACACTCTTTCAGCAATCACTACCCATTTCCTTCTCCCTCCTGCTGCTAGTAACCTCTCATCAGCTTTGGTCTCTATACATTTGCCTAGTCCAGAGAAATGGGAGCATAGAATATTTGAACTTTTGTACCCAGCATTTTTCTGTCAGTATAATGTTTCTAGGTTCATTCATTCATAGCAGGCATCAGGGTTTCATTTCTCTGAAAATATCCATTGTGGGGAAGGACTAGGTTTTGTTTATTCATTCATCTGTTGCTGAACATTTGGGTGGTTTCCACGTCTGGCTCTTGTGAGTAGTGAACCTGCAGTGAACCTGGTGTACAAGTCTCTATGTCTCTGCTGTGAGTTCTCTTGGGTATAGTCCCAGGAATGAAATTGCTGGGCCACTTGATGAGTCCATGTTTGACTTTCTGAGGACCTGCCAATATTCATTTACTTTTTATATATGCTTTTTAAAATAGGAGTTTGCCTTGGGATGCAGCTTGCTGTGATTGAGTTTGCAAGAAATTGCCTTAACTGGAAAGGTAAGGCTGAAGTTTGTTGGTAACCTTTAATTAAACCAGAACCAAACTTTTCAGCAATAGAGGTGAATTATTGAACTTTTTTCCTAATCCTCAGATGCTGATTCCACAGAATTTGATCCAAATACCTCTGTTCCTCTGGTAAGTGGTTTGTGTTCTTTCTGCGTCTGCCATTGTTCTTTTGTTTCTGGTTCTTGTCTTAACTCATAAAGGGCTATGATGGTTTTGTTTTTCTTAGAGCCCCAGAATATTTTAAGTTTTACATATGCATCTATCTATATATTATATATATGCGTTAGAACTGACTTGACAGCACCTAACATTAGTGTGTATGTGTGTTTTATATATATATACATATACAATGTATGTATGTGTGTATGTATATGTATATTTGTGTATATTATTATTACTACATAAAACCTCTCTGTTCTCTGTAATCCATCTTGGCTATGTCTTGAAAACACAACGCTGGATGGCTTCTCTTTGCAGCAGCTTTCAAGTCTAATGTTTAGCAAAGGATTAAATTGGCTGTGACAACAATTTATAACAGCCAGTATAAATAAATGGGCTGTCCTGTCTCTAGGCTCATCCTCGTCTGTCTCTTTTCCGCATTGGCGGCTGTCTACCTTTCTAAAACAAAAGTGACAAACGTTCCTGAGCTGCTCCTCACTTTCCCCTGATTCCTTTTCATTTAAAACATCCAGTCTACCTTTCTTGGCTAGACATCAAAGGCCATTGTGTCTTGTCTAATTCATCTCATGGCATCCCTGTTCTTCCCTTGCTTTGGGTTTTATGTTGGGAGAATCTGACCTAGTTTCTCAAACCTATCGTGAGATTCTCTTAACCTGAGATGACCCCTTCCTGCACCTGTCTTCTACTGGAATCTCAGGCAGACCAGTGGAGAATTTCATTAAAAACAAAAAACAAACAAACAAAAAATCCCAAACAAACCTGGTTACCTACAACTTTCTATTTATACTGGGAGTCTTCCCAACTCTCTTTCTTTCCCGCCCTCTGTCCCCTGTGCCTTGCACTTGCTACCAACAAAGAACATATCTCACAACTATGATTTATTTTGATAATGGCTTTGTTGAGATGCACATCACCCCTCTATTAAAAGTGTATAATTTGGTGGCTTTTAGTGTATTCATAGAGGTATGTAACCATCACTCCACAAACACATTCATCATCCCCAAAAGAAATAGCACACCAGTAGCCCGTCACCCTCGAAGCCCCCCTTCTCTCCCAATCCTGAGCTATCACGAGTCCGTTTTCTATCTTTTGGACTCAGTTTGTTGTACTCTGGTGACTTGCATGTTACTATGATGCTAGAAGCTATGCCATTAGTATTTTCAATCCAAGCAGGGCCATCCATGGTGGGCAGGTTTCAGCGGAGCTTCCAGACTAGGAAGAAGGAGAGGCGGACTACTTCTGTTATGTATAGATGCAAAAAACCTTATGAATAGTAGTGGAACATAGTCACATATAGTGCCGGAAAGCAAAAGCATTGTAAATAGTAACAGAACATTGTTAGATGTGGTGCTAGAAAATGAGCCTCTCAGGTGGGAAGGCACTCAAAAATATGACTGGAGAAGAGCTGTCTCCTCAAAGCAGAGGATGGATGATGTGAATGGAGTAAAGCTTTCAGGACCTTTGTTTGCTGATGGGGCACAACTCAAAATGAGGAGAGACAGCTGCAAACATCCATTAATAATTGGAACGTGTCATGTGCGAAGTCTGAATCTAAGAAAATTGGAAGGGGTCAAATACGAAATGGGACACATTACGATTGACATCCTAGATGCGTTGTTCTTAAGTACGGTTGAGTCGGTTCTGACTCAAAGCGAACCTGTATGGGCTTCTAAGGAGTAGCCTGTAGGTTTGAACCGCCGACTTTATGGCGCAAACTGACTTTTGCTTTATCCTACAGCGCCACACGAGGACTCAATCCTAGGCATTAGTGAGAAAGGAAAAGGTCATAAAAAAGACAGGAAAGAAAGAAAAGACCAAAATGGATGTCAGAAAAGACTCTGAAACTTGTTCTCCAGCATACAGATGCTAAAGCAAATGGAAGAAAGGAGGAAGTAAAAGAACTGAACAGAAATTTTCAAAGGGCAGCTCGAGAAAACAAAGTCAAGTATTATAATGAAAGACCTGGTGTTAGAAACCAAAGGGAAGAACATACCCACGCTTTCTCAAGCTGAAAAAACAGAAATAAAAATTCAAGTGTTGACTTGCATTATTGGAAGGACTCCATGGGCAAAATATTGAATGATGTAAAAAGCATCAAAAGATGATGGGAAATATACACAGAGTCTCTGTACCAAAAAGAAATGATCGATGTTCAACCACTTTAACAGCTTGAAGAATGTTTTATGTGTTTTGATGATCTTCTTGACTGTTGAGTGAGACGTGGGTAAATTGTGAGCTTTAGCATTCACTGATTCTCCACATTCAGGTTGTTTAATAACCTTTTGTTTCACTTTCAAATCTATACTTCTCCTTTTTTTCTTGCCACTGCTATTGCTAGCACTGGCTTTACTGCATTTGAGAGCCATGATGCACTTTATGGTAATATTTTTGGAAGAAAATTAAGCATAGAGATAATGCTCTAAGAGACATGTGACACATGAAATTGGATGCTGCTGCCTAGAAGTTGAAACATACACTGTTATGTGGTAAACTTTTTAGATGGACAGTATAATATAGTACATCATAAACCAGCAACATAGGCATTTATTATGAATTCAAGACATAATGTTGTTAAGTCGGTTCTGACTCATATTAACCCTATGTACAACAGAAAGAAACACCACCCCGTCCCACGCCATCCTCCCAGTCACTCTTACCCTGGAGCCCATTGCTGCTGCCACTGTGCCATTCCATGTCGTTTGGGGGGGGTGTCTCCCTCTTTTTCACTGCCCCTCCACCAAGCATGAAGTTCTTCTCCAGGGACTGATCCCTCTTGATAATATATTCAAAGTATGAGAGATGAAGTTTGGCCATCTTGATTTTTAAGGAGCGTTCTGGGTTGTACTTCTTGCAACACAGATTTGTGTGTTTTTCTGGCAGTCCATGGTACCTTTAATATTCTTCTCCAGTACCATAACTCAAATGTATCTGTTCTTTTCTAGTCTTCCTTACTTATTGTCCAACTTTCACATGGAGATGAGGCTATTGAAAATACGATGGCTTGGTCAGGCTCACCTCAGTCCTCAAACTGATATCTTTGTTCTCCAACTCTTTAAAGAGGTCTTTATATAGCAGATTTGCCTAATGTAGTACATCGTTTGATTTCTTGACTGCTGCTTCTATGAGTGTTGATTGTGGATCCGAGCAAAATGAAGTCTGTGACAGCCTTGATCTTCTCTCCATTTATATGGATGTTGTCTATTGGTCCAGTGGTGAGGATTTTTGTTTTCTTGACATTGAGATATAATCCATACCGAAGGCTGTGCTCTTTGATCTTCATCAGTAAGTATTTCAAGTCCTCTTCACTTTCATCAAGCAAGGTTGTATCATCTGCATATCGCAGGTTGTTAATGAGTCTTCCTCCAATCCTGATGCCACATTTTTCTTCATATAATCCAACTTCTCAGATCATTTGCTCAGCATAGAGATCGAACAAGTATAGTCAATGAATACAACCATGGAGCACACCTTTTCTGATTTTAAACCATTCAGTGTTCCCTTGTTCTTTTTGAATGACTGCTTCTTGCTCTATGTACAGGTTCCTCATGAGCTCAATGAAGTGTTCTGGAATACTCATTCTCCATACTGTTGTCCATAGCTTGTCATGATCCACAGTCTAAAGTCTTTGCATAGTCACTGAAGACATGTAGTATAGGCTATATATGTACTGTGCCATTATGTGCTTGGCAGCACAATCGTTTTGTGTACAAGACACATGAGATACATGTGTTGCCTATAGGCAGCTGTTTTGTTCTCTATGTGTTGCTCTCTCATTGGGATTTCTTAACTCTGTTTTGACCACAGACATATATGCTGTCTAAACGGATGTTATATGGTGCATGGCTCATATATATATATCATTAAAAAGTTGACATTTTAACCCTTTTTAAGTGTACAATTCAGTAACACTAATTACATTCACCATGTTGTGAAACCATCATCAGTATCTATTTCCAAGTGTTTTTCATCAGGGAGCGAAGTTTGGTAAATGTCTTACCCATAACCAAATACCTTGAGGGACTGAGTCACTGGACTTGAGGATTTAATGACCATAAATAATCTAGGAGGACATCTATATAAAATTGCACAATTAGTCCATAAAAGCAATGTTCTCCATGCTGCTTTGATGAGTAGTGACTGGGGACTTAAAAGCTTGCAAGTAGCCATCTAAGATATATTGGTCTCTTCATGTGTACAGTAGTCAGTGACCTAATACAATCAGTAGCCATCTGGAGCTAATGAACACAATTCAGGGCTATAACAGAAGCCTAAAGACTGTCTGGAGAGGAGTTTTGTTTTCTCTACACTGAGGTGCCACCCATACTGAAGGCTGTGGCCTTTGATCTTCATCAGTAAATATTTTAAATCCTCTTCACTTTCACCAACATTGTATCAACTGCATATGGGAGGTTGTTAATGAGTCTTCCTCTAATCCTGATGCCACTTTCTTCTTCATATAGTACAGTTTCTCAGCTTATTGGCTCAGAATGCAGATTGAATAAATATGGTGAAAGGATACAACCCCGATGCACACCTTTTGTGATTTTAAACCATTCAGTGTCCCCTTGTTCTTTTATCTAAAGATTGCCTCTCGGTCTGTGTACAGGTTGCTCATGAGCACAATTAGGTACCCATTCTTTGCAGTGTTACACTTAGCTTGTCATGATTCACAGTCAAAAGCCTTTGCACAGTCAATGAAGAAAATGAAAACAAGTCCACGAGAGTCAAAATAAGACCTTGAACGTATCCCACCTGAATTTAGAGACCATCTCAGGAACAGATTGGATGCATTCGAGTAATGACTAGAGATTGGAAGAGCTGTGGGATGACATCAAGAACATCATACAGGAAGAAAGCAAGAGGTCATTCAAAACAACAGGAAAGAAAGGAAAGCTCAAAATGGATGTCAGAAGACACCCTGAAATTTGATCTCCAGCCTAGAAATACTA